AATGAAGATATGTTATTCATTTGAAAATAGTTAATGTTAATATCTTTTTATTATATAAATACATTTTAAAATAATTTTTATGTTTTTTAAATGGAATTCAGAAAGACATAAGAAAAGAATTGAAATTAATTTTTTAAATATATTATTTATGCTTTAATATTATTTATCTTGTTATCAATGAAGAYATTTTATTSATTTGAAAATAGTWAATGTTAATATTTTTTATTATATAAATACATTTGAAAATAATTTTTATGTCTTTTAAATGGAATTCAGAAAGACATAAGAAAACAATAGTCTCCTTCACGGATACCTGCACCATCTTGAAAGGTAGCCGTGCCTTTGCTCCGAAGCGAGACAACCATTGAGCGTGCAATGATAGATACCTGTGCATARTTGTCTATAGGTGTGAAAGAAGGTTTCTATCATTGCTCGCTCAATGGTTGTCTCGCTTCGATGACAAGGCACGGCTACCTTTCAAGATGGCGCAGGTAACAGTGAAGGAGACTATACACATTATTCCAAAATGGCTGACTAGCCCTTGATGTCTCGTTCTCATAAAATTATTCTTTTGTCTTTGAGCTTGAGTGACTTTAAAAGAAAAGAATAATTTCATGACAACGAGACATCAAGGCTAGTCAGCCATTTTGGAATAAGGTGTATTGAAATTATTTTTTCAAATATATTATTTATGCATTGATAATATTTATCTTGTTATCATTGAAGAAGTTTTATTCATTTGAAAATAATTAGTGTTAATATTTATTTATTATATAAATACATTTGAAAATACCTGTTTTGTAAATGGAAATCAGAAACTCATAAGAAAACACTTGTTACCAATTGTTATTCAGGTTTCTTTTTTTTATTATTGACTTTTGCTTGACATTTATTATAAAGCAATGTTCCTGTTCAGAATAAATATTTATAAAAGTTTTCCAATTTTTTATTRTCGCAAATACTATATTTAATGCTCTTGAAAGATAAGACAATTTTAATAGCAATCATTAGAAATATTTATATTTACCAAATTAAAGGTGAAAGTTGACAAATGAAGGTTTATTATATTGATTTCTTTTCATAGTACTGTGGGAATATTCCTTGAGAATACGTATACGACCTAAGATATTCAGAGGTATTCGTTACGTATGGAAGGAATATTCCTTGAGAATACGTATGCGACCTTAGATATTCAGAGGTATTCGTTACGTATGGAAGGAATATTCCTTGAGAATACGTGTGCGACCTATGATATTCACAGATATTCGTTTTGCATATTCGACTTGTGAAAGATATTCGTTAATATACTTTGTAAAGACGTGAAGTCTGTAAGACTCGTCAGTTATTTGTTTTGTCAGATAGTTGGTATTCTAGAATATTCAGTTTGAATACGTCAACATCAAAAAATATACAAGGGTATACGAATTGCAGCACGTCACACCAGCCAAGAGTATACTGGTTGAAAATGGAAAAACTGGCTGGATTCGTAGAGAGTGATTCGAACGTCTCGTCACGCGTATTAACTCGAATATTTCCGAATACGTAAAATATTCGGGTCCATTTTCAAGAGTATTCTTGATGAATATTCGACTTTTGGCACAGTGAAAACTGCTCTTTATGAAATTCCGAGGATTGTAGCCGACCACAAGCCCATTAGACTATAGGTGTTAATTAATGAGTAAATCTCTGCACGAAATGTTCTTCATATTTTCAGAGTTCAAACTTTAATCACACTGAGCTGCTATGCAGTGCGTGTGCAGATTCGTCCACTAGCTCCCCTCGAAGGTGTTATAGAAAGTCCTATGAAAGATATCGTAATGTTTTAAAGACACCTGTTAAGTAACACGAACAATGAGATGGAGTGATAATGCGATCACTCATATCAAAAGAATGACCGATTGTCAGTGAAACGAACTCAAACCACGGACACTCTTGCCGGGAGGCCTATCGCTCGCATATACTCCACGATAAATAAACAAGGAAATATCCATCTTATCGCAAGGTTACTTCAAAGGAAATATGTATCAGTTATCAGTATGCAACTTGAAAGCTATGCTTTTAGAACACCACACACTATGTACTTTTGTTTGTGTCTAGTTGGATRAAATATTTGTCACTTTCATCATCGAACCCTTCAGGAGAGGGCGTCGACTTCTGTCAACTCGTATATTTTTCAATTTAATTTGACGAGTATTTCGCCTTGCGTTTTAACTAATTTCAGCAACACAATCAAATTAAGGGGATGCGTCACTGGTTTTTAATTTAATCYGTACTTCCCTTCGTCAATTTGAGATTCATTTCGGCTAACGGAAGCTCTTTCAATCCAATGCAATAATACAGAACTACACACTTGGAAACACTCAGATCAGGACATTCCTTTAACAGTACTTAACGTCTGGTTACGTCGATTTARATGTCAGTGAGAGGATGAATTCGACAGAGAAAAATTATGCCAACCTTGAAAGGATCTACAGCAAAGTCGAGGTGTTTTCTGCRTATATCTTGATAGTGTTGTCACCAGTTACTGTGATTACAAATGGAGCTTTTCTTTTAGTCTTRTACAGAAATACAAGAATCTTCAGAAAGACTCCAACAATTGCATTCATAGTGGGCCTGTCTCTTGCCGACTTCTTCACAGGTTTGCTGGTCGAACCAGCCTTTGCTGCKCACTATTTCCTGATGTATTACAAACCTAACTCAAGCTCATTGAAAACAACRAAACTAATATACATTATAGGAGGAACAATCTCAACTATAGCGATCAGTACATCTTATGTTACAGTCTTAGCAATGTCACTATCCCAATATATTGCTATCAGATACCCACATAGATAYAAATCTATTATAACTACAAAGCGAGTCATCCGTCTTCTTGTTCTTAGCGGCTTTTACTTTTTGGCGTTTAGCTTAATCCAGTACACAGGAATCAGTCGCCGTAAATTCCTTCTGATGGACGCTATACTTCATCCGACCTTAATTTCATGTTGTCTTATAGTAGTTCAAGTCCTTATCCATCAAGCATTTAAAAAACACGTTGCAAAGCCAGCACGAACRAGGATGGACACACTCCAATTCAGAGAAACACCAGGCTTTAGTCCTTCTACTAGCCATACGACAAGAGCAGGTACACCTATAAAATTACCTAAAGCAAATTCTATCATTGTAACTGATAGCGCTGGATTGTGCGTCAAAACGACGAAGTCAAAAGATTTATTGGATAACGATGAGRCTAAAGTGAGCGCAAAGAAACCCAAGTTGAARCCCACTAAAAAATCTATAAAACAATCTGTRCTTGACGGCGAARTTTATGAAATGGATKCAGTAAAAACTTCTACCACCCAGGAAACAAARCCMAACGAGATCTACTCATCGTTAAGACGAAAAAAAGCTCCAGTTGAAAAACAATTCGCAGTAATGAGTTTTTACTTGTCAGCAATATTATTAGTTTCGTCCATTTCTCATGCAATAGCGTTTTATATCTTTCTACTAAAAACACCCGAAAGTTTTAGTGAAAATGTAAGTATCCACATCGCACTTAGAGTKACTGACGTAATGTTGTTCATCAAGGTTTGTTTAGATGCATTTATCTTTGCCTGGAGGCTGCCAGGTTTTAAAACAATCTGGAAAACTACTGGTGCTAGTGTATTATGGACACCTCAGAAAATATGAGCAATTCTAGMGATCCGACTCAATCACAGAAAAACAGGAAAACGATAGCAAAACGACGCAAATCACCTTCGCAAAGCTTTGATGACAAGAAAACAATTATCAAGCAGGAAATTGACGGCAAAAAGAAAATTAACGAGCTATTCAGCGAAAGAACAATAGCACAAAATGAACACAATAAAATTGAAACTCAAATTAGAAAGTAGAAAYGCTTTAATAATGAATGATGATTGTTCGTTTTGTTTGTATATTGTTAGTTTTAACTTACCGCTTCCGCTGCAGCAGTCTGCTTTCCACGGAAAGTGAAACGGGAGCAAACTTGCCGCAGAGGAAGATAAGTCCGAACTGTTGCTGTTCATTGCACTCTTGTTAGTACAATCATATAGTAATCAGTGTGGATAAATACATCTTAGTTAATATATCTATCGTTCATACTACGTTCTTTTAGTAATAAATAAAACGTATAAATACTACGATGTTCTATGGTACATTTGGCGTTGCTTCTGAACGAGCGAATGACGGACCCGAAGGAGTGCCTGAAGAAAAAGCGCCAAAAAAGTCCGACGCGAATTCACAAACATCATCGGGTTTTCTCAGCAATAAAAACTGTAAGAAGTCAGCCAAAAGAGCTCGGAGTTCTGGGTGCCGTCTCATGTAGGTGGCATGGTCGTCAGATAACTCCGCCTAAGAAAGAAAGGTTCAAATATTATTGAATCTGAAATTGAAAGATTAGATTAATAAAGGGAAAGAATTCAAATAGTACCTTTCTGTCTAAAAAACGGGAATAGAGCTGCAAATCCTCGTCCCATTTTAACGGTTTCAATTTTTTCTCTTCTGTTGTCGATTTAGTCTCTAGAAAGAAAATATAAGGTTTCTCTATAGATTTTATTCCTATACTTATCAATTTACAATTATCGACTCACCATCTTGAACTTGCTGTTTAGGTAAACTTTCTAAAGTCATCTTCACCTGGGAACCAAGCTGTGTCCTTGACGCTAAATGACTAAAAGATATTTTGGATTAGTTTTTTTTTCTTCTCCTTTTAATGATACAACAATTCAATTTACAAAATGTACTCACAGATGATTTCTGCAGGGAACAGACCGGCATTGATCATAAACTACCGAGATGTGCTCATCAACGCATTAACGAACAAAAATTATCTTTAAAAGGATTACTTAAATATCCAAAATTGATCCAAATTTCTCGTATATTCTTTACAAAAMAAATCGGCTTACTTAGCCTCAATTTCTGACAAAACTTCATTTTGCCCTTTTGGCATCCCTTGGTATTGTTGAGGAAGACAGGAAACCCAAAAAAGTAGAATACCAGCTTGACTCGTTTTTTAATATTTTTTTATTATTATTTTGTGTAATGAATGTGCAAATAAATCTACATCGAAAAATTAGCATAACATATCTCTCTTCTCTAATATGATACCATTTCCCAAAAGACAAAAAAAAAAATGTGCAAAAAACTCACAAAATTAGAATAATCGGATTTTTGAAACCTGATTTTCCCTGAAATTTGAAGTTTGTATCGAAACTAGTATTCTATTCATTTAATGTTATTTTCGAAATTTTTATTTTTTAAATAAAAACTTATGATTTGTTTGGGAATAGATTTGATATAGCAAAATATGACGTGTGAATGAAGGCWGCAAGATTTGAACATTGTAGTTCCTTATTGAGYCARACTCACCCTGTTTCAAGGAAATAAGCGTGCCAGGTATGTGGTGTGCTGTTTGAAGTGTTGATAATTCTCTCTAGCCCAAGTAGCGTTTTTTCTTCACTCCCATATATTTGACTTTTTCTMCCAAGTGAACGCTAAGAAACAAAGTAAAAATAATGTAAATTGTAAAAAATGCAGATAGTTGTTGGTTGCTATGGTTTTTGGTCAATAGTTGCTKTAAAACTCTTGGMAAAACTATCGCTGTTGTTATCATCTTCATTATAATCAACCATAATCCAAGACTAGGAATATTGCTTTAAGAAGTTCTATATTTTTTGGTAAATTTGATGCTACTTACATATGATGAAGTCCTGACATTTGTATCTGAATCAAAAGTAAGAAAAACCATTTGTTCAGGAACCCCTTTCTTGACCATTACTCTCTGCAGTAAAAGGTTTGATCCCTCTGATATGAATCCTTGAAACTCTTCTGATGTGAACTGAAACTCTGATTTGTTGATTTCCTGAAAAAAGTAAATAAAAACAACTTACTATAACCTATGAACATTCTTGAGAAACAAAAAGTAGCCTGCAACACATTTCGGACACGACTGTCTTTTGTCCGGATGTGACGCAGRCTACATAAAAGCCACATTTAAAAAGAAAACTACTTACAATTCCTTGCGACATTGTCTTGCGTACAGTGTAAACATCTTCATCTAGAGACAAAAATGTTCTCCTGTCCAAAGGATTGTCTGGAATCTTAAAGATTTCATCATAGATTAGATAGCATCTTTCTATGCTACTACAACAATTTYGGATTCCTGTGTTGACAAKGCATTACAGTTTGTCCCCAGTCCTCCATAAAGTGTCCACCAAAGAAAGCCCAATTAATTACCTTAACATATTCATAGTGTGTCTGTTCTAAGGTTCTCATGTTCCTGTCTATATAAGCAGTAACAGATGTACCAATAGGGACTTGATCAATTACACCATGACTGTTAGCGTGAACAAGACAGCAGGGTTCCTCTTTCCATGTTGCTGACTCTACTGTTATTCGCATTTCTCCAATTTCCTAAYGAAATCTCAAATTTAGTAACTCCAGAATGTAACTCCATATATTTTACATAGGGTAGTTTATAGAAGTGCAATATAAAACCATATCCAGCTATTTTTATCATTGGCATTATGTCAACCACAGGTGATGTTTTCTCATATTTATATGAGATATAAATGCTATCAAATATGAAGTAAAGAAGATCTTAAGTAAGTAAGTAAGTTCAGTAACATTTAGATCACATATATTTACATGTATTTGATCTTTGAACTGCATATAATATCTAGACTGAAAACATTTTTTTCTTACCCTGCCAGCTTCTGATGTTGTCACCAGTGAATCAGAAAATAATAAAGAATTCCAAGTTGCATCATCTACGAAATAACCACAAATTTAGTGATTGACCCAACATAACAAAATAATATTGGTGTTTAGCAATGATGCACTGTACCTCCACAAAGTTTAACTCACRTCTTTTGAATAAAATCATTTTTGATTCAAAATGGCCATAAGATCTTTCAAAASCATACTTCATAAAAAATAACAGAACTTTTTTAAACCATCTTTTCACTAGCATTATTCCTCTCTGCCAGCCATTTATTTATTTAGTTATTATGAACTTTAGGCAAGGTTATAATCAAAATATTTGATTAATTGTTGTTTCTCGTATTACCCTTTACTCCCWAAGTAGCTAAGTTGTTATAAAGTTATTTATCTGGAGGGCACTCACATGAGTTGCACTCTAACAATGCAAATATTTGCTTGATCAGGCATATCACCATTTGGTGGGGTACCAATTGCCCTCMCATTTTAACTGCAATACCAGACTATTTTGCGTGAGATGGTTGACTGTGTTCAGTATGATATAAAAATTTGTGTTGGGGATAGTGCAACATTATGTCACTCATGGGGAATTATAGACTCTAACTTCAAAATGAAAATATATCCAAAATGAATACCAAGTTTTTTGCTTTTTTTTTCCTAAAAATATACCATAGATACAAAGCACTTTACTGCTGAAAAAATAAAAATAAACAACTAAAAAAGAACCCAACTTTTTGGAAATTCTGAATGTAATATTTGACAACAAATACTTTTAGAAAGAATTATATCACTATCATGTCATCAGCACATCTGTAATAAGCACATATTTCTGTTTTTTGATATATTTGGCATTTTGACTTTTGAAATATGTGATTTTGCTTGAAAACACAGTTAAAATTTTATTGACATCCAAATTAAGAATATGACAGTATAATTGAAAGCTGTTTTCTTATAAATAACCCATGAAATTAATTCTTTACAGATTAACACTTGCAGACCACAGTATATATCAAGATGACTAATATTATTGATTACAAGATCTGGGAAGTTAATTACATCCCATCAGATATCTGTAATTTGTCCACAAAAGACCAATTCTTGTTAGCTTTCATYCAACACGATTAATGTGGAAGCCTAAATATTTCATTAAAAAATGATTAGGGGAACACTTGGGAGAAGTATTGCCAAAACAATACACTGGCTTAAAAAGATTTTCTCTGCTCAATAAATAAGTCATAACATACAAATTTTCTTTAGAAATTTCTGGAAAGGAAAAGACAGAGGAGATATGAACAAAATMACATCTTGAAGGAATATCTTTAATCCAAATAAGTTGAGTTTTTCTCGAGAAGAAAAACTTCTCTTTTATYCACCATTAATTATAAGCTTCACCATTCCATTAAATGACAGGATTATAAGTTTATTTACATGATAACATAATGAATGACAACTTTCAAAACCTATCTAAATAAACTTTCAATTGACMATCTGAAAACAAATGGTCTCCAGGATCGTGAAAATAACACGTAAAACCTTAACTTCTTCACGTATAAAATTCACAAAGKTTATTCACATGGACATTTAGTGTGTGTACATAAAGCTTAAACACACTGCTAAGAACATTTCGGTTTTAATTTGGTGTAAACACACTTAAGCAGGCATACCAAAACACTTGGATTGGTCCAGTTTTAGTAGTACTTCAAAAGGGTAAAACTGAAGCAGACATTGATAGAATCACTAGTATTTAAAAGCTTAGGTTAAAGTGATAAGTTAACTTGAGCAACACGTTGGATTCCATGATTTCGTCATATTTACATACCTATTTCAGCGAGATATCTTATTGCCTCTTCAGTTGCTTTCATTTGAAGATCCTCTTTCGGAATGTCTTCATCTGCATCTCCTGCAGAAGCACTGTCACCAGAAAACATATCTTAGCTTGTACTGACTGTATTTTGAGCCACGAGATAAAACAAAGTCGCCTACACGACAACTGCAGRCAACATTGTTATCAATGTCAGCTTACCCTTCAGAATTTTCGTCGCTCATTCGTAATAACAAAGGTTGAATATATAAGCTATTGACTGAAGACTAATTCAGCAATGGTTTGAGAACAGTTAAGGCAATCCAGATCCAGCTTTGTAAGGATATTTTAGAMACTGTTCTCCCTTGCTTCACATCATCGGGTTCCGTCGAGTGATCGATCTCAAGTTGTCATAACAACACAGGTCATTGACGTCATTAAGGACTTCTTTCAAGAGAAAGGCTCCAATATTTTACATTCCGAGAATTAAATAAGTGCCAAAGAAAACTATTTTTAGTCCTGTCAAATGATTTTACTTTAGATGATAGTGCCTTTGAATTTCTTGTGAATGTATGTCTACATATCAGACTACGTGGACAGGAATCTGATTTATGTCAAGCTGTAGCGTCACACATGCCACCGGAACTTCCAACCTCGTTCCCACGATTCGGAACTGCAGTATTATTTTGTTTATTTTGTTTTGTTGATTGTTATGTATTTGTAATTACAAATAGCTGAAATAGYAAAAACACTATGTTTTAATGACCTTTCTTTTTTGAGGTTCTGCTCCAGATTTTATCCCTGTAATATATTAAGTGCCCAGAGGATTGCCGCCGAGGAGAGGGTCGACGGAAGGCGGGTAGAATGGCTCCATCTAATTGATACATTGTTTTATTTCCTTGAAAGACAACTGCACATACAAAAAGAAAAGCCGTTTTCTAATAAGACTGCATGTGTCTACTGCAAGAAGAATGGTACCACACATGCAAATTCATATYAGTATCGGAACTCATGGGTTTAGATGTTTGCGCGTAAGACCTTTTAGTTAATATATGAAATATTCGATATTCTTTCGTTGACAGCTTTACTTRTTATTAATTGTCGACTCATACTGAAAGAAAATAACATTAGCTTGAGCGCGACATAACCACAAAATCAAGCTGAACGAAAGTTCAGATGACAAGAAACCGAATCAACAGCACAGGGAGCCCGGTCTTCGTACTTTTAACCCCACCAGGGCAACCTTTCGAGTTTTTCCGAAATTTTCTCTGAAATTCGAATTTTTAAAATAGAAAGGGCATTATTTTGGAGTTACTATAAAATTAAATCAGATCATCATCCATCAGTCAATATTTCACAATTACTCACAAAACAAACGGTGATGAGTAACCACTGAATAATTAGTGCATATACAAATTCGATTTATTGATCACTCCAGAAAAATACCAAGAATGTAATTTTTCTGATTATTAGTGAAGTACCACTGAAGCAGGTGTTAGCCATTATACATAACATCAATCCTGCAACTGAATCAAACCGTTAACCAATAGCTTTTTTTCTCAGTTGTTGATTGGTTGAATTGTGCACCAATGATTCACTATCAATTGTTATGGCTGTGAAGACAGAATTGACAAATAAACAAYATCGAGCAAGGATCGACAAACCTCAAAACCTGAATGATTCTTGGTGCATAATGTAGTAATCAATAATTAATCGCTTTCAAGTTGTGGGAAATTGTAGGATTTTCACACGCATGCAAGAAAATGGAAAATTGAATGTTTCGCCTTCCACTACTACTACAAGTTTTAAGTGACGATATACAAAATATCCAATAGTATCAAAATGAAGCTGACAGCTTCACAGAGAAAAAAACTAGCCGTTTTCATACTCGTTCTTTCCAATGCCTTATATTTGTACATTGGAGGATTAATCTTCAGCGAGGTCGAAAAGAAGCAAGGATCAAAACCAGATACCAAAAGCGAGATGGTGGAAATTCTTGATGCTTTGAAGACAAGCTCTTATGGTAAACGAGTTCTTGGTAAAGACTTTGATAGCAAGGATATCGTTGAACGCCTTGAAGAAAAAGATTTAGAAAAGTTGAAGGTACAACTTAATGCAATCAACGRTGAGAGGAATGCTGCAGCTAAACCCTTTTGGAGCTTTTCCAACTCGCTTTTTTTTGCAACTACGATTGTAACGACCATTGGTAAGTATGATAGAGAAMTGAATTGTTCGCCTTTAAACTTAAACACCTACTTCCTCACTAGCGCCCACTACTTTATTTTTGATCATCTAGTATCGTATACATTTGTTACTCGGGGACGAGAACGTTCTCGCATAATGGACGCACTGTAAGACATATAGTTCATGCAGTGATTACATGTAGTAACAAGAAAATAAAAAAAGAAAGAAGAAAAGAACACACAAAAAAGAAAAAAAAGGAAAAAAGAAAATAAATGAGTCGAAGAATCTGCGCCGCGTTAATCGTTGGCTTGCTACTAAGATGCAATAAAAAGCAACCTCATTCTTCATATTAACTTCGGAATCAGCTCACATACAATTCTAAATAAACTAAAACGTTGATTTTCGATTTCCAAGGTTATGGCAATCTTGCCCCAGCAACACTTGGTGGCCGTATGTTTTGCATCATCTACGCCTTAATAGGAATACCGCTGACCTTGATGTTGCTGGCTGTAGTGGGTAACGTTATAGTTCACAAATTAAACGATGCCTGTGGATGGGTGGCTACCCGGATAAGATCAAGATATCTCAAGGACTATGAATTTGAAGCAGCGAGTGCCGAGATTAGCGCACCAGTGTGGCTTGCACTACCAATAATCTTTATATTTTTAGCCATAATGTCGACCATGTATTGTGCTTTGGAAGGCTGGGACTTTGGTACTTCTTTATATTTCATATTTATAACTTTCACGACAATTGGTTTTGGTGACATTGTCCCGTCAAGTCAAGCGGTGAGTTTAATCATAATTGTTTTACCCAGATTGCATCGCGCATGACGAACGATAAACGTAAAGRATCTACGTTACTTTCTGCTTGCGGTGAAGTGTACGTCATATTTATGACGCATGCGTGAAATTACTTACTGCTGTACTGTATGAGTTGCGTCGGCGTTTCTAATGAAACTATTCATAATAATACAATCAATTCAAAGTAGGTTAAATCAGGAAAAAAGGATAATTAATACATGCGCTTTAAAAACGGACATACAGGACTATACATTTTGCCATTTGTGTGACATAAACTAACGAGAGTTCTGGATATAAGTTCGAGGATGAAAGGTCAAAGAAAAGAACAATGAAAGKGGGAAAATATAAGGAAATAATTAATAAATAAATTCCATTCACAAATACGAAATACTTGAACACGGCAGTAACGGTACTACTATGAGAGTGATGATTAGCGGGAACAAGATCCCTMATCGATTTCTCCAACTTTTCCTTCGACACAAAATTTCAAATGTCGTCTGCTCAATCTCATGAGTTTTGCGGCAATGCCTTTAAAAATGCTGCGCCAAGGTTTTTTACTTGTATCAAACTAAGCCAGTAGTTCAGTTTACGTAATGATTTCCAAGCAAAAAGGGCATGCTGAATAAGCCAACTGATAATTCTACAGTGTCGGRAACAAATAACGCTTAGCTTATACGACAATTAAGGTGAAAGTACAACGCATGTACATTTTATTTTATTTCAAGACTACATTGCTAGTAGTACCGCGGTAGATAAATGAGATTTTTCATCGTTTCAGAGTGACTATGCCAGGTTTAGGACAGGCTGTTTAGCGCTAGTCCTGGGTATAATTCTTAAAAAAACTATGGAGTTATTAACCCTGGATTAACGGTAATCGGGTTCGAACAACCCGGCTCTGTACAGTGAAGACCTTCGATTGAAAGCAATTYATAAATTTTCCATTTATAACGTAAATATATAACGTTGAGAGTTTGCCATTGCATTTCGCGCCTTGGAATGCAGCATCACTCTTGTATTTAGTCCTCAACGTTGTTAAAAATAGCTTTATACTATTAGGCGGTTTTTTGAGACAGTRTAGACGTACACTAACACATTAAGTACTAACCATCATCGATTTATACCGACTATTAACATGCATGTAACACATTAATATCTCCTAATCATATGCATAACATTTATAATCACTAATATATTCTATACTATTCTATACTATTCTTCTACCTAGTCTGTAGTAACATGTAGCATGGGCATTTGGCATGTGCATGACAAACTCTTTGTTTTTCTCTTTTTTTTCGCTCTCTTGGAACGACCAGATGACCTTAATATTTCAGGGTATCTGGATCAATACCACCCTTCTGTATGTTGGTTTGTCGATTGTATCTATTACAATCAACCTGTGTGCTACTGGRATAGCAAAACAGATGCAGAAAACTGGAAAGTACATCAAAATCTTGGCATATTTTCAAGACCAGGATAGTCAAACGGCTAAAACTACTCAGCAATCTGAYCAGACAACGAGACGTCGTCAAGACCCCGAACACTTTGAAATGGAAAAAATGGAAGATCAACCGGAAAATGAACAGTCTGGTGCGTCAGTCGACTCGAAATTAAACGCAGTGGACGCMAACAAGCGATATGGAACTGTTGAAGACTGAACATGATAAAATATTCTATATGGATGTATATTCTACTGAACACTGCCTGAGCATCATGGATTTATTGATGTTATTTATGCATGAAACAGATGAAAGACAAGAAAGAAGAAAATATAGTTCACGAATCAAATTTATTATCGTTTTACAACTTGGTAGTGGTATATTTGATGTTTAGGTTAACTGCAGCTTCGTTCAAACTAGTTTTCGTAGCCATGCATTGGTTTTCCTTTCTCAGAAGTATTCAAAACAATACAAAACTAATRGAACGAAAACGCATTAGTTTGAATAAAGCTCAAATTAGTTTTTGCAAATAAATAATTAAAGTAAAGGGCGTTTTGGTTAGAGTGATTCTGCGAAAAGAATGCGTACTTTAACAAACGTGAAAGACAATAAAGCAGAAGGATAATTACTCTAATATAGACCGTTCTAGCCTAGTAAATTCGTTCTGTAATGATTGTATAGACATTGCAACATTTAACCCGAACAACAAAATCTAACAAACACACCACAGCCAAGGTAAAGTGCWTCCTGGTTAAATTATTAATACACCTAATTGAAAAAACGTTGTCGGGTTTCTAACTGTGAAAGGAATTACAGCGTGTCTATGCCAAACGATTGTCTGTTTTGAATGAGATCTTTTTGTTCACACAACGCATTTTTTTTCAATTAGGTGTGTTTTACATTATGTTCTAATTCACTTGTTGGTTTATCGTATCAATAAAATAAAAACTGTATATACGCTATATAACTCTATTTGTTTGTTTAGCAAACTACAACGAAACCCTTGTTATATTGTCTTACCTTTGTTGGTAATATATTGAATTTATTCTATAAAACTATACATTCTGCTAATGTGATTAGCTGCTATTGACGTCACCTTGGCGACAAACAAATAAACAACTGCGAAGAAAAACAAACAAACAAACAGACACCACACATGAAAAGAGCAACAGGGATGAAGAAATCTACTGCAATTGAAGCTGTTTCAAGCTTTTGAAGCAAGCTCTGATTTTCGGAAAGCCTACCGTTACTATACCTATAACCCGTGAATAATTATATATCAATTCAACTAAGAAAAACAATACTACGAAACTAGTCTACTACTAACAAGTAGTACTRACTATTAAAGCGTTCATGTGACCCTGCGGTAAGCTGGTTGAAATCTGKAGGCGATTTCCCGTCAAGAGCATGCGCAGTAGTACGTTTTCCATCCCAATAGCAATTATAAATTCCCACATGTACTTGTCACGTACAAGACCATTTGACCTACAACACTTATTACTTTAATAGCAACTAAAATCAYGATAATTTCCTAACTATTATTGAATACCTACTCTAACAAAATGATTAATTTGATTTGACATCAGTCAGAGAAGAAATGGCGGCCTTGGCATTCATGACTCCATGATCGAGGGAGGAACTCGTCCAGTAAAGTACCCTGAAAAAGATGCAATGCGATGATATGAATAAACCCTGAGTGGTTGATTTCGATTTAATGCAACAAGTAATGTCAAGTCATAGTTAGTAACTATGTAGTAGTAGTAATACATGACAAATTCAATCCATTCTAGACCAAATAGAGATTAATGATTCAACTTACATTTATTCTTGGRCAATTTTGAGTTGCATACCATTCTTGACTGTACAGGCACATCAGTAAACCATTTCCAAGGAAAAGTGTTATCCACATGAAGATATTCCAGGCTTGAGAAACATTTTCATGCTTTTTAGGTTTTAAGAATACGAACGAAACTAATAAAGAAAAATGAAAACATCATCTCCAATGAATTAGCTTTTTGAGTTTATTTGGTTATTCAATGTTACTCTAGGCCCTTGTTTTCAATTGTTTTAGGAAAGTTCACTCTACTGAATCTTTTGAGATTAGCAAGACCAACGGCAATGTTCTTGATATGAAAAACATTAGTTGTTAAAATCAAATACTTACGGCCAATAACGCCAAACATGGTGAACAATATAGGGAAAAAGAATCGAAATGCTACAACCAGGACATACTCATGGACAAATGCTGAAGCAACAAACACAACCACTGTTGCAAGATTGCGGTTCTTGGAAACCTATCAGGAAAGAATACCAAAGAATAAATTTTTTTTTTTTAATTTTTATTTTACCGAGTAATGTAAAATGAATGATGTCATTTGTTACTTAGAATTTCATGAATTATAACTAGAATGTGCTCTATGAGTGAAAAGAAGGAGTTTAGATGGATTGTAAAAGTTAATACATTTGAAGAACACATTTTCATATTGTGAAACCTTATGAAAAAATATCTTCAATAGTCAATGTACCAGTAAGATATCTTTGTATATGTATTGATATAACCAATCATGAACGACAACATTCCATGTRCGATACCAGTTAGCATAAGACGATGCATTCCACCAGTCCTAGTAACAAACAATATCATAACAGCATATTAGGACTTCTTAATAATTTATTRAATAATACAAATCATGAACACATCCACAATCTGTTGATTCATTCAAGACAGAGCTAGCTGGATCACACAACAGCCRAATTTCATATGACTTTGCAAAAGTTGAATTAAGAACAGATTTTGACAGCAGTACTGTATGGTTAACTACCCAAAATTACCATACTTTTTGTACACCGATGGAAGTTCTGCCCTAATAATGGTAGTGAATGGTGGACAGGGTCAAAATTGAAAGAATCACTAAGCTAACATGAGCCTGGTCCTTCACTAACCTTGTAAAACATTCTATCTGCAAATCTTGTCATTTCAGCAAATGCATTTAACCAKGAATGAAGAATGGCAAAGAAACCCAACACTAACACCATTGTCCCAGGCAACATACAGCTGAATGCTGATAAAATAAGCTGTCTAGAAATGAAATATGAAAAATAAAATGTTGGATGCACACATTGGATGCACATTCCATCSACTCRATACACATTCAATACACATTCCATCCACTCGATACACATTTGATTCACATTCATTACACATTCCATCCACTCGATACACACTCGATACATATTCAATACACATTCCAACCACTCGATACACACTCGATACATATTCAATACACATTCCATCAAAGTGTGAACATTACATACTTGTAGTTCCCAGGCTCTTTACCAGTATTTCTGAATACTGGGACACAGAACCGTGCAAAGACAAAGTAAGTGAAGAGAATACACAGAAAAACTTGCACAAAGTTGGACACTACATAGTCCCATCTTATGTATGGTGTCCTGTGGAAATAAAATAGATTAATGAAATTCCCTCCTTTACCAATGTCACACAGACAGTGAATATTCAAAAAAACATCATTCTTGGGTAGTTTTAACTCCCAAATCTGATAGATTAAATACTTACATTGGGTAATTGTCTCTATAGACAAGAGTTGGGCAAAACAAGAAATACAGGTACTGTCCAAAATCAGGAAGTTCTGATGTTTCATTATCTACTTCGCTGKAAGAACTTGATGATGAAGAGACATCTCCTACAAATAAATCAAGTCAATAACAAGTGGGTGTAGCAAACTTGACTYGGAGGGACACAATCATAGACTTATAGTGATGACGTCACATCAACTTTTGCAAATGCATATACCGATGCCATTATGTGGGGAGAGGGGGGCATGGCTCCCTGGTTCCACTGTCACTGAATGAATCAATTCAAAAACAATTCCAAATCATGGGAAAGACTACTTATACCCCTCTGTAACCTGTATATCTCTGGGGTTTTATTGGAACTTACTAGGATTTTACACAGCTTCTAAGTGAAGCAAATTCTTTAGTATTTCAGKGGTCAATTTGCCTTAGTTTTAAATTTATTCTCATGAGTATTGCACATTTYGACAACTTACAAAATAATTATTTTAAGGATTCCCTCCCTTTGAATATCAAGATAAACACAATATTCATTACCAGGACTATTACCAGGACTATCTTGAATATGTAATGCAATCACTTTCGGACAATTAGCTCTCACAAATGCATGAGCCTTTAGGATAAGTCGAACCTATAAAAAAATGCATGAGTTAAGAGTTTTATAAACTGAAAGAAATAAAAAATACCAATACTGTGACGTGGGAAAAAATAGTTGGTAGAAAAATAATATTTTAGTATGCTTATCCTGATTTGCTCTTAAAAATTAATAACAAATCTACAAAAGAAACAAAAAATCTTTAATAATGTCAATTACCTGTTCACATAATATAATTATGGATGACGCAGGGGGAAGTTCATGGATGCATATTTCTTGGATTGGGAAAGCAATAAACACTGCAATATAACCCAAATAAAACACTAGCCAAATAGAATTAGGAATCTTCATCCATGATGTCTGATTTGCATGCCATAAACGGAAGAGTGGAAAAACCAGAAAYGCCATGACATTCATAATTAGCCAAAGATTGATGACTATAGAGACTTTTCCAAATGCCCAAAACATAATGGAAAAGTCTAGAATTATACTGAAACAGAGAAGTCAACATCATCAGAGTTGCATTCAACAATTATATTAAACTACAAAATGACTGACAGTTACTTACCTTCCGGTATCTATATAGTCATAAACAATGGTATTTAGCACAAATACAAATAAAAGGGCAACAAATATGTTGTAGATTGTTCGGATATGGTTTACTTCTAGCAATTCTCTGTTCAAAATTAAAAGAAAGAAATGTCGATCAAATAACATTCACAACTCAAATTAATTAATAAGAAAAATCAAAGTATAAATTTATGGATTGTTCATGATTGCACAGAAATATGCTGCCCAAGTCTGTCTACTACAAGRAAAAAARGCCTWCACATCCTTGTTCAAGCTACCAGCAAATGCCTACAAAAAATCTTAACTTACGTTAAAACAGAATTTCGCGCTTTGAAAATTTTACTGCCATTACTTTTATCTCTGCAATACAACATCACAAGGGAATTCAGTAAAAGAAAACAAGAAAACAATAACAATTATATCATATATATTCAYATTAARTTTTTTTYCYKSMAAMMARGSYTYMKTWWTWRG